GAGGCGTGAGGAGACCACCTGGTCGAGGAGGTCTGTGGGGCGGAGGGTGGTGGCTGTGGGGGCGTGGGATGATGGCATTATGGGTGCTTGGAAGGCCGAGGCGGCCAGCTTGTCACCAGTCCCCGAGCATAGGCACATGACGTGACGATCGGTCTTGCTAGATGCAGCAGGCGGCCCTGAGGACGCCCCCATGAGCTCTGCCTCCCTGGGTAGCCCCCGCTCCTCGGTGGGAGAACAGAGACGCACAGGGAGGAAAGCAGGACAGGCCCCTCTATGAACCAAGCACGAGGCTCCCAAGACGCCCCTGGCATCAGCGTGGCCCTTGTGACCCACGCAGACCGTCAGGCCTTCCCCTGACTCGGGCTGGAAGCAGCTGAAACTGTTCAGCATCTGAGCCACATGCAACCCGCCCCGATGGTCGTTGGTGGCCGCGCACGGTGCCCGCCCCGACGGTCGGTGGTGGCCGTGCACGGTGCCCGCCCCGATGGTCGGAGGTGGCAGCGCACGGTGCCCTGGCTGGGACCTGAACTCGGGTCTCTGGCACAGAGGACAAGCATTCTATCCCTAAGCCACCTCCACCTCGTGGGAATCACTGGCCATTTAAAATGAAGGCACTGCCGTGGGATCTGCCTGGATGGGCAGAGGGTCCCAGGGCCAGTCTGGGGCCCCGAGGGGCTGTGGCTAGTCCAGCAGGCCGGGCTGGTGGGGCTAGCAGGGCAGGGCCCGGGGTGAGAGGAGAAGGTGGCCGTCAGCCCCGTCACTTCACGCCCAGGCAGCCAGCGTCGTGAAGCAGCACAGAATACCAGCTCCTGGTGGAGAGCAGCTGGCCTCGGGCACAGTGCTGGTCAGTGACACTGGGGACACGAACATCCAGGTGAAACCCACCTCCAACCCCACCAAGCAAAAGGGCGCACCAGGCGACATCTGGCAGCCAAGGTGGAATGCTGACATACAGAAGAGGCTGGCGGCTGCGGCCGGTGGGGATGCCACACGGGCACAGTTGGGCATCAAGGAGAACAGGGCACCGTTGCCGTGGGGAACCACGTCTCCGCCCCATTAAATCCATGTGTTACGTGTGCAGGTCTGTCCATCTCAGACCTGGGCCAGAGCCCCTCCCCGGTGAACACACACCCAGACCAACCAAGCCAACAAAAGACGGCTGCACTTCCAGAGTTTCTTTCAATAGAAGACTTTTAATCAACATCAGAGACAGAGGTGCTGTGAGAAGCACCGGCCGGACACAGTGAAGAGATGGTTTCCTTTCAATGCGGAGCACCTAAACCACAGTGCTCCCAGTCCAGGCCTGCTCAGAGAAAGCGGGACCCAGCCAAACAGCATCCAAGAGGCGACCGAGTCGAGGCCACTGTGCTGGAGGGGCGCCCGAGCCCGCCTGCCTCTGCTGGGCTGCTCGCCCCCGAAAGAAAAGAAAAGAAACAAATGCAACAGAACAGCCCCTCGATGCCCCACAGACAGGCAGCTCGTGCCGGGCTCGGCCCAGGCCCCTGAACACTGTTCCCACGTAAATATAATAAACTCTCTTACTGGTAGGTCCCCAGTGCCGACCAACCCTCTCCTCAACGTGACAAATGTGGAAGTAGTCCTTGTTATGTTTCTTACGATAAAAAGTACAATTTCTTAAGAATAAGTTCAATAAGACGCAGACACCCCCCTCCTTCAAGGTTTGTTTTACACAAAAGCTCTATCTTTTGTGTCTGCAAATGTCATGAGGGAGAAAAAAGGCTTTTATTTCCTTTCCCCAAAGCTGCCAAGTTTGGCGTGCAAAGTCTGTGTACAATAGAAAGACATGCCGACCCCAGTCATGCAACCTCCAGGTGTAGGAAACTTAAAAAAATATAGTCATATATGTTTATGTATAGATATTTATATGTGTATCAATGCCCGTGAAACACGTGGGCCCCAAAGTCTACAAAAGGAAGGGTGGGTGCGGGTGTGACTGCGACCAACAGGAAAGGAATGTTCTGGTCGAAGGGACAAGAAACCCGCGGCGGCGGAAAGCCCCTGGTCCTTTGTCAGACGGTCAGGAAACAGTTTTGAAAAACAGAAAGAAAATTGAAACACTTTGACAAAGTGGCCCTTCTGCACAGAGCCCTGGGACGTCAGAGGGGCCGCCAGGCCCAACAGGCAGCCCTCGGCGCCACGGGTGTCCCTTGACGGGATAAAGTGCTCGCTCGCTGATTCCCAGGCCAGTGCCCCGAAAGCCCCATGCAAAGAAGAAAAGGGCTAGAGGCCCTGGTGCCAGGACCCAAGAGGGAAGCTGTCCCGGGGTCTCCCGCTGCTCCAGAGAGCACGCTGCCGGGGGACCCTCCACGCCTGCCAGTGCGCTGGCTGTGGGGGCGAGCGTATCTTCAAAAAAAAGGCTACAAGGTAATGCTTGAAGCAGGTGAAGGAGCAAGGGTGGGTGGCAAGCAAGCGCCCCGCCAGGCTGCTGCCGGGACGAGACGGAAACCGGCCCCACAGTGGCCGTCCTCAAGAACCAGGAGACGACATGGCCCCTGGGCCACCGTGGCAGGACCAAGGGCTGGTGGCCGCGGCCCCCACATGGGGCACCCAAGGGGCGGGTCGGCCAGAAGAGCCGGCCAGCTGGGCCCTGCTGCCAGGTAGCACAGCAGGGACAGGCTGAGTGGGCCTCGGAGCCCAGGGCGGCCAGTGGTGCTGGACCCTCGCCTCTGCTCCAGCCACCGACCTGTATCTGACCCACAGCATCCCCAGTCGGCACTGTCTCCGCAGAAGCCACCCTGTGCCCCTCACCAGGCCACTGCCGCGCTCGGGGCCTCCTGAGAACACGGTGCACAGGGCAGCCTCCCCAAGTCCAAACTCAGTCCACTTGGGAATGAAACTGGCGACTCCAGCACGGGACAAGCGGCTCTGCCACTTCCCATCAAAGCAAAGAGCAAGCCGGCTGTCCTGGCCGGGCCCTGGGCTGCCCCTCCAGGGCTGCTGGGCCAGGCTGGACCCTGCACAGCCACAGGCTCTCAGATGGGGCCTGGCTGTGTGGCCGTGGCGGAAAACCCGGACTGGGTGACAGTGACGGCCGTGCTCCGGCCCCACTGCTGACATGCTAAAAGGTCTTTGGGAAACCGGAGTTCAAGTTCTGTGCTGGTCAGGGATGTTTCAAGGTGTTTAGTGCTGGCCGCCCCAGTGTGTCCCCCAGCCTGCCACAGGGAGACCACCCTGTAATACTAAGGTGAAAGTCAGGGGGCCCCTCTGGTCTTATGAGGACAGAACTCGGGAAAGACAGAACCATGGGGACTGGATCACAAAAGGCCCTTGACCCCTTCCCATTCGACGCTACTCTGAGTGCAAGCCCGTGCGTGACGGAACGCCATGGCACGTGTGGGCAGCCGCTCGCTGCACAAAAACAAAAATAAAACCATTCCAACAATACAGAGAAACTTTGAAAAGTTAAAGAAAAAAAAGAAAGAAAAAGAAAAATGTACAAGCAAAAATTTAGGAAGGGAAGAAGACTGGACGTCATTACCATTCAGAAAACCGTGAAATGGTAAGGAAAATGGGAAGTCCACAACACAACGCTTATTCAGGATCGTGAAAAATTCATACAAAAATCAACAGAAAATTTATATCTTTGCTATAAAAACTCATTAGATACATATGTGCATGGAGGTTCGGAGGGGGGCGGCTTCAGTCAGAAAACCAAGGAAATCAAAGTACAAACTCTGGGGGTCGTCGCCCAGGGGCAGCTGTCGGCCGTCTGAGAGCCGCCAGCCGGGCTCCCACAGGCAGCTTTCCAACTGCACTCCTTCCCGTAAGCACCTTAAGAGTGGGGCCGCAAGTCAGCCAACCGCCAGGGACCTCCTTACGACCTGCATTTCTTATATAGATTTTTATAGATATACTTTTTTCTATAAATGCATTATAAATATTTTATCAAGATTTCATAAGAATCAAGTTTCTTAGCTGGGAACCCATTGGCATATATAGTATGTATGCACACACACACACACACATATATACACATGTATGTATGTTTATACCTAACGCGGGAGCCGTGGGCATGCTACTTTTCCTTGAAGCGGTCCGGGAGTTAACACTGCAGGGTGCCTGGAACATGCTTGACAACCAAACGGATGCACACTCGTGAGATGACGTGTGGGAAAGACACTTTGGATTCGTTTAAAATTTGTCGGACTTCAGAATCCCCAAACAGTCCTCGCCACTTTCCTGGCAACTACCTCCATTTTTCTTAAACGGCAATAAAGCAAATGTGAGAAGGTCCTGGCCCGAGGCCCCTCCCGAAGACGCTATGCCACGGCCGGCCACCTCCCGCCAGGCGCCGTGGGCCCCGCCGGCCGGAGGAAACGTCTGACTCCTGCTGTCCAGTTTTTCTTAAGGCATTGTTCCTGACGTTAGAAGACCCCGTCACAAAAACCACCAGAGCAATAAAAAGGCACAAACTCGCATCTCCCCACGGCTTCCGAGGTGGCGGCTGCTGCCCGGAGCTCACGTTTCTGCTTCTGTCCAGTTTCTGTTTTATAGTTTTGTCCACTCTGCCTGCCTCATCGCACCCACTGGGGTTCACAGACGAGGCCGGGGCCCTAGAAAACCTCTCTTAAAACAAATAAGCTACAAGGTGAGCTGAGTGGCTCATGGAGACCGTGGACTGTGGTGGGAATTGGAAGGTGAGCACCAGGTTCAGTCAAGTCTGTTTTGCGCATCAGATCTTTGATTTTCTCTTTCTCGTGTCAACTCAATCGGGCAGCTCGGCCGCGAGTCACCGTCGCATCTTCCGGCGACCCCCACGCTGGCGCTGAGCACCGCACACACCTGTGTGTCTGCTTGCCATGGCCACGCCTCTCATGTGCATCTCGAGGTCGGTGGTCCGTGCAGCAGGGAGGCCCGTGGAGCTGCTTCACCCGCTGCCCCTCGTGTTCTGAGAACAGCCGGCAGGGCGCAGGCGGACACAGGAAATGTTCTTGGCGGAGCTTCAAGACAGAGACAAGGGCGGCAGCCTGCCAGCCGGGCTACAGAGGTGGCTCTTCCTCCATGGGCTCTTCCTCCGGTCTGCACGGCCAGTCCCCGAGGAGAACAGGAGGGCAGGGCACAGCAGAGGGGAAAGGACCCGATAGCACGTCAGGGGCCGCCGCTGCCTCCGCCCGTGCCCGCTCGGCTCCCAGGGACGGGGGCCCATCCTCCCACCATCCCCGAGCCGTGCAGTGGCCTCAAGGGCAGGGCAGTGAGGGGCTCACCTCTTCTCGGCTGGCTTCACGCCTACGGACAGCGAGGCCATGGCGGTGACCGTTTCTGCCTCCTCATTCTCACATTTCTGGGCCTCCACCAGCGAATACCCCGTGGTTGAGGGAGCACGCTGCAGGGAATGCCAGTACTTGCCTGGGGACAGAGAGTGGTGCTCATGGGACGCCCTTCACATGCATGGCCCAAGCAGGCACCTGGTGCCCGGATCCCACAGCCCTACATGTTGCGCACAAGAATTTGAGTCTGCACTGCTGGTGGCGGTCCTCCAGGGCCAGGGGGCAGGGGAAGATGAGACTATGACCTGGGCAAGCCCCAGGTGAGAAGAGGAACTAATGCTGGACACTGTTCCCCAGGGCATCCCATGCAGGGTAGTCCAACCATGCCTCTCACACTGACCATCCAAAAACCAACCACGCCTTCCTCACACTGACGTCAGAATACCAACCACGCCTCCCTTACACTGACCGTCAGAAAACTAACCACGCCTCCCCCTCACACTGACCATCAGAAAACTAACCACGCCTCCCTCACACTGACCGTCAGAATATCAACCACATCTCCCTCAAACTGACCGTCAGAAAACTAACCATGCCTCCCTCACACTGACTGTCAGAAAACTAACCATGCCTCTCCCTCACATTGACCGTCAGAAAACTAACCATGCCTCCCTCACACTGACCGTCAGAAAACTAACCATGCCTCCCTCACACTGACCGTTAGAAAACTAACCATGCCTCCCTCACACTGACCGTTAGAAAACTAACCATGCCTCCCTCACACTGACTGTCAGAAAACTAACCATGCCTCTCCCTCACACTGACCGT